TTTTACGTCGTTTCCTGAAAAAAACCCGTAACGCTCGGGGGGTTAAAAAAGTGTTTAAATCCAGTGATATTAGGTTTGTCTTACAAGCTCAGGATCAAAACGATTCTGCAATTGCCCGAGCAGTTGACTTGTAAATAGCTGTGAATTAAGCAGATGACTTTTAATCTTACGTTTTCAGTCACAAAACGCATTCCAAATGTTTTGTATTGCATGACAATGCATGTTTTCATTATTCAATAACCAGTCAGAGAACCGGTTGTGTTCCGAAAATAAGTATGTGTACTCAATCGTCCTGCATGTTCTTCAAATTTGTCTTCTTGTGATTTTTTTTCTTTCCCAAAAACTAAAGTTGCCTCTCAAAGGAAAGTTTTTTGACATTGAAGCGACAAAAGGAGTATGACATCTACTTTTAGAGGCATGTAAAACAGATCTCTACAAGCCTTCTCTTCCATTACATGTTGTGCAGTCAGACAAAAAGTTACATCAGCATAAGTTCTATAATCTATTTTTAATACACATACAGTGAATATATACTAAATCTTTTACTTCAGCTTAAGTAATTCGGAATTTTTGACGGAACTGTTGTCGGAACTAGGGCTTAGAAGATAAGTAAAATTAAACATTTCGATAACCCAATAAATTCAAGGTCGAAGTTTCAATATTTTATTTTCTGAAGGGAGGGAAAATGTTTTCAGTTTTGGTGCATTATCCTAAGTATATTTGCTTCGATTCTTTATTTTTCCATAAAAGCAAAAATTTTACACATGGTATACATATAACGCATAGCTTAAATTAAAATTTAATAATATACAGAGTGGTTATAATTAAAGTTCCACATTGAAATGGTCATAAAAGGAAAACTACCAGACCAAATGTTATCAAACTTGGTAATCGTGTAAAGGAGGCCATGAGAATTTATTTTCCGCGAAAAAAATAAAGTTCGAAACCTCACCACCAGGATGGAAATGGCGCTGTATGCAATATTGTTAAACGAAATATGGGTCGGAATCTAACTTAACCTTTTGTTACACGGGTTTAATATGTTGTATAACCTTAAGAAACTTTGAAGTAGGCAAATTACCATTTAAAGACGTTTAATGTGATAAAAGTCGAGTGCGCCATCCGTGTAAGTGAGAAATTCGTCTGTGAAAATTACGAATCAGCGATTAGAAAATGTGTTATCTCAAATCATTCGCACAAGTGCATACAATCTGGAAATTGTTTTCTTACAGATTGCTAATTTTTAAATTTTGAAGGCTGAATTCGGCCCTAAAACGTGAAAATACTGATTCAAAACGCTTTTAATCGATTTGGGCCAAAGAAATCCCTCATGTTATCTATCTAGTTCCATTGCATTCGATTGCATAGCAGTCATTCCACACCGTTTGGTGTAGAGCTAGTTTTATAACTGAACCATTTTTCTCTGAAGAGCAGTCAACAGCTGGACCACTGTGATTGAAGCTCACTTAGAGTCAATGTTAAAATGTTTCGTGATACATGAACTACAATAACGTGGCATTTTAGACACTACGATTTTTATGCAGGGCTGCGCCCCACCTCACGTGTGTCGCACAGTTACTTAGGCAACATTTCATGAATGAACGTTTTATAGGCAACACTTTGCCTCTTCCCACCAGACCTCAACCTCTGTGACTTTTGGCTATGGGGTTATCTCAAAAGCACTGTTTACGGTGATAATCTAAACAATTTAGCAGAAATGAAAAATGTGATACACTGACATGTCCGTAACATTCCTCCTGATATGCTAAGAGCTGCTGTTGAGAACACAGTAACAGGATTTAACTTGTTTTCGGAAAATGCTGGACGCTACATTGAACATGCTTTGTAACACGTTTCGGAAACTATTAAACACATTTTAAACAGATGTTTTGATGTCTTATTTCATTTAAATATATTGTATACAGCGCCATTTTTCCCCTGGTGGTGAGTTTTTGAACTCTTTTTTTCCACGGAAAATAAATTCCCATAACCTCCGTTACACAATTCCCAAGTTTGATAACATTTGGTCAGGTAGTTTTCTTTTATGACCATTTCAACTTGTAACTTAAATTATAACCACCATGTAAATTAAACTTTAAAAGTTTGACAGTTTGGTTAAAGTCCCGGCTTTAAAATATATATATAAAAATATAATCTTTTATATTAATCCTCTTAGAAAGAATGTTTTAAGAAGATAATTTTTCTCTCGCGTTATAGATTGTATAAAAAAACATGATCTTTAATATGATTTAGATTGTTTCTGCTGATATATGAATCGGGTCACTTGGTGGTACAGAATAAACCCTACTGGACTGTTTTATTTCTTTGTCATTTAGCAAAAAATTTTTAATTAAAATATTTATCCTTTGGACTTCGCTTTAAACTTTATTTATACTTAAAATGACTAGAAAATGAAAAGCTGTCTTCAACTGAAACACAATTCATGTAATTGCTATTTTAAAAAATTGACAAGAATGCAAAATTTATGGAAGGTCTAGCAATCGAAAAATCTTAATTTTCTTGTGTGAGCACTGAAAATAACTGTAGAAGGAAAGAAGAAAATTAGGGAGAAAAGTAAGCAAAAATTTGCAGGGAAATTTGGCTGTCAGACATACCAAGATGTTTCAAAATGTTGGACGCTTTTGAAAATACTTTCAGGATACTTCAAAGAATTTAGGTGTTCAAAGAGAAAACACTTGGACGTGTACACCAGCAAATACCATCAACTGAGCTTGTGTTAACAGAAAAGACAAAAAGGATATCATTGCAGATTAAAGTGAAGAGTGACTGGTTTTAGACGATATGGTTGTATAAATTTAAATTATGTTAGAACATCATATCGTATTATAAATGGGGAATCCCATGATTATCTCAGTCGAATTATTTGAAGATTCAGGAGTTTATCCAGTGATGTATGTGGATGTCACCTAAAGATGTTTTTTTTCCCTCCTGATGAAACAGCGGCCGAGCGGTAAAGTCGCTGAACACTGGTATTTCGGTTCGAGGTTCGAATCCCGCGAACCAGCTGGCTGCATGGGCGTTTTCGTGGTTTTCCCCATGTGTAACGTGTATGTGAGTTAGTTTCCCTTAGAAAGTCCTCCCTCCCCTTAGACAGATAGCCCTAATGTGCTTTTTCATAATTAAATAAACCAAAACCTCTTGATGAAACCAGTCTTTCCTTTCATCTCATACCTTCAAAATGTTTAGCCTCTAGAGACTGATAAAGGCTCTGACCAAATACTTTATGAAGAACTTTCTAAGGGAAACCAGATGCCATACACGGTACACATGAGAAAATCCATGAAAACGCCCATGCAACCAGCCCGTTTACCGGGATTTGAACCCCGGAGTGAGCTACCAGTGTTCAGCAACTTTACCGTTCGGCCGTTTGTGGGCCTTTATGAAATGGAAGGCGATAACTTTATTTAAAATGATTGTCAGAAATATCAAGATATTTAGAAAAGTTGGATGGCTTTTAATATACTTGCAGAATGCCTAAAGAAAAAAGCAAGAATAAAGTAGAATGCCAAAGAAAATGAGAAGAAAAAATAAATTTTTGCGTAAAATTTAGTTTTGTATTTTTATAAAATTTAAAACCTTTTAATCTTATGATATTTGATTCTTACGATTTCAAAAATAAAATATTTGACTAAAATATGAATAACATTTTAAGAAACCAAATGTAGGATAAAATTGTGTAAAGCAATGGGCACAATGATAAAACTGTTTAAATCAGTGTATGCAAGTCATCCTAAGTTAAAATGTCGGTTATACATCTCTCTTATTTATATATATCTTTTCTGAACGGAACATTGAAAGGCGTGTTAACTGTGCTTTTCTGTATTTTCTCTTTTAACATATGCAGTTTTCAAACACATCGTAGTCTGGGTTACAAAGTATTCTTCCGAAAGAAACACAATTCAAATAAATAATATCAAATTCTAGAAAATTTATATTAATAAATATATTTAAAATGCTCAGTTCGAAGGAATAAATAGAAAATTTTAAAACAATTATCTGAAGAGACAATGCAACACAAACAATTAAAATAAAAGTATAAAAATTTAAAAATTACCAAAAATAATAACTATGACGAAAATATATATAAAGAAAACTATAGGTAAATAGAAATTTTAGTATAGAATAGGTAAATAGAAATTTTTAAAACAGTTATTCGAAAAAAAACCACGCAACTTAATCAATTAAATGAAATTCGAAAAAAGAAAAAATTACTTAAAATAATAAGTTATAATTAAAAATATAATATAAAGAATATTATTTGGAAAAAAGGAACGATGGTGACTCTTTTCCCTCTTACTGGAAAGGAAACTAGGTTGCCGTATATTAAGAAGTTCGCCAAGTGAACTATTCTTGGCGCAAACTGAAAAAAAAGTGCCAACATAATTTGTGAACTTGTCCATAAATTTTGCTCCAAATTTTACAAAATTTCATATTTAGGAGTAATTTGAGTTGTAATATCGAAATATGTAAAAAAATTGGTATGTTATTTCAGAAAAAGTTCGATTTTGTGTCAAAATACCTATGTTAGAATAGTGCTATATATAAATCTAATATATATCCTAAGTCGCGCTTTCGAGACATAAAGAACGCAATTTGAATTTTGTCAATTGGCCCAGTAGAACGGGAGATATAGAACTGTCCCTTTTTTTTTTTGGAGCAGTGTACATACAGAGGAAACAATTTTGTTTACAGATTTTAAAAACACTAAAGGATAAAATTACAATAACCTCATACATTAATGCACTTTTTAGGCATTCAAGAGAAAAGTATATTAACTTAATTGGAACAATTTTAACTGAGTTAAACAATTTTGTTTACAGATTTTAAAAACACTAATGGGTAAAAATACAGTAACCTCATACATCAATGCATATTTTAGGTATTCGAAAGAAAAGCGTATTAACTTAATTGGAACAATTATTTCAAAAAGGAAAAGAATACATATGAATATATAAATTGTAATTTATTTGAAACCCTACCTTGGTAATATAGATGATACTGGCCAAGAGTCATCAACAAAGTTAGATTTAACTAAGTGGGTGTATTTTGGATTTTTTAACAGCCACTTCACCAATGTTTCACATGCTTGAACTTGAAGTGTTTCATTTGTGTAACTAACTGCTAAAGACATTAACGCATTTAAATCATCAGGATCCAACTCCAAGCACCTATAATACAGAATAAAATACTTAAAAAACACAGCAATACACACTAACATAAACTCAGATGAAAATACTTTTTTAATACTGAATTTCGTATAAAAATAATGAATGCTGCAATTTCAGATAAGACACTGCAAGCATAGCCTCAGGTACAAAATGAAAAATGTCTTCTCCCGATTGAAGCCTAAACTCTGCTGCACCCCATGGTTAAAGTAAGTATCAAAACATACTATTCAAAACTGATACTAATTTAAAAGTCACATTTTCAATATTTTGTGAGATATGTTCCTTCTATTTTGACTTATTGAAATTTGACTAATTCACCCATATAAGGAAAAGTTTTTCCATGATTTACCTATTTCATGCTATGCAGCATTAAATTAAGTATTTGAAAAACTAAATAAATAACTCTTAAAAGTATGATAATTTTGGTGACATCCCATCTTTTAATAAAAACGTATGAAATAAAAATTTTTATATTAACCCTTGTACAAAGAATGTTTCAAATAGCTGGTTTTTCTTCATTTTATTACATACAGTTTTAAAAACATGCTCTTTAATATGGCAATTGCAAATCTTAAAAAATTGTCAAAATTATATGTTTAGATTATTTGCATCCCATATTAAGATCACTTTATGACATAGGAAAAAACACTGGATTTTGCTGACTAGGAAAATTCTGGGATATGTTTTATTATCTGTCATTTGGAACAGGTTTATTAACTCAATTTTTTGTCTCCAAAACAAAGTGTTTTAATTTTTTTATGGAATACGGTGAATATTAAAAGGTGGATGGTGCAGATATATTTGCCAAATGCTTCAAATATCATCAAGGCAATCAGGTTTTCTTAGGGAAATAAGGCATTAGGAAGAAAAATAATTTTTTGCATCCCCCACCAATAAATGCTTCCCCCTTGTGATTTTAGAAACTAAAAATCTGAACTTATTTGGATTATATTCTAAGAAACAAAAAGTAGAATGTTAAAAACACATAAAGCTATATCTCAATAACAAAAACTGTTCAAAAGCAACGGGGAATTAAGTGCATGCATATTATCCTAAATTAAATTAATTATGCATTTTTCTCATGTACATTCTTCACTTCATATCTCACTTCTTAACGATTCACTGAAAAACATATTAACTGTGCTTTGCTGTATTTCTTCTTTCAGTGCATTATGCAGTTTTCAAATTCTTTGTGACAAATCCTGAATCACAAATCATTCTTTTGAAAGGAATGCAATTCAAATAAATAAAAATTCAAAAATCATTTACATGAATAAAAATACTTAAAGTATACAGTCTGAATGAATAAACAGAAATTTTTTAAATGATTACTTGAAGAAATATAATTTAACTACAAAAGTAAAGTAAATAAAATCGAATTTTATAAATAAAAAATATATTTGAAAATAACAACTATGAATAAAAATACAAAGCAAAAATATTTGGAAGAAAACATCACGTTTTTTCCATGTGTGTAGAATAAAGTGGAGAGTGAAATAATGAACATAAACCAAGACATCTGTCAAGTGAATTATCCTTGGCAGAAAGTGAAAAAGTGCACCAAGCTATATATTTTACAAAATTTGGAATCTAAGCATAATTTGAGTTATAAAATCAAAATATGGAAAACAATCAGTATGCCATATCAGGAAAAATCCGATTTTGCATCAAAGAACAACCAGCATATATAAATCTAGTATATATCCTAAGGCACACTTTCAAAACATGAAAAATGCAAATTGAATTTCATCACTCAGCCAAACACAGCAGGAGGTATACAACTGCCCCCCCTTTCTTTTGACTCAGTGTACCTATCGCTCGATTAAAACACAAAAGGTTTGTACCAGTCGCCCAGATGGGAAAGCGGTTAGCAACTCTGACTGCCATGCAGAAGAGCTCACTTTTAAATTCCAGAGAGCGGATGGATGTAAATTGTCTGTCCTTTCAAGAAGGTAACAGTAGCTGCCTATTAGGTGCCTTCATAATAAAATAACCACCATTTTTGGCCTTAGCAGTGGGCAAAGCCTAAATATGGCTAGTGCCTGCCATATAAAAAAAAATAAAAAATAAACCTTTTACACCAATACATTATTAAAACAATAATATTACAGTAGGTCCACGATAAAAAATGATGCATACAAAATATGAATGCGAGTATGGATGTTTTTTATACATTCAAATAAAAGAAACTGAAGATTGATGATTTACCTTTTCAGAGCTGCTATAGCAGCATGATCCTGCTCATTCTTTGCTTGGCTTGAACCTAAATACTGCCAAGCCTAGAAATAAATATTTCAAAGGCTTTAACAAATTAATATTAAATTATAACTACAATTATACAAAACACAAAATTCTTGGAATTAAAGCTGACAAAAGTAATACAGTATTCAAGAAATTAATTATATAAAAATTTAATACTAAGTTGATCCTTATTACAATGATGAAAAAATAAGAAAATTACATATTTTATAACATATATTTAATATAGTAGGCACTTTAAAAACATGCATATGAGGAAGCAAACATAGTCACATTACAGTTTTTAAGAATAACAGTTTGCATTTAAAGAATGATAAATTATAAATTTTGTTTAACTGCCAAGCTGGATGTCTTCCAAAATTTAATCCACCATCCACTACACCTACTCATATGTAAAAATCATTTTATTTATTTTCAATCAAAACTTTTTAAATGCTTACACTAGAATTTCAGATTAAACAATACTTTGAAATCACTAAAATAATCAGTCAAAACAACATACATGTGACTTGAAACCCTAGTACAAATAGTACGTGCCTTTTTTTTTTTTTTTTAATCATCATTGAAAAGAAAATAATAAATCTGAAGCTGCCAAAATCACTTATTATTTAAAATTTTACAGCAGGATAATTAATTAAAAAACTAATTGAAATCAGCAGACAAAATCTGATTTATAGCTTGAAGCATTTCTGTGAATCAATTCCAATTTTCTGAACGAAGGCTTGAGGATCTATGTATAAACACATATATGTATATTTCACATAAAGGTATCATACATTATTAGTTGCATAAGAATAATAAACGATATGTTTTAAAATTTTATGGACTTTTGAATCCAGTAAAAAGAACTGTGCATACAGATACATTAAATAGATCTAGCAACTCAGCATACATCCATTCCAATACATGTTATATCTGCTAATGTTGTTTCAGATTATTAAGCTGCAATGTCTTGAAGAAATTATGAGGAGGTGTTTTCTAATAATTTAAAATGAAACACAAAATCATAATAGTATGGTTTAAATCACATTTCCTTTGTTTTCCTCCCTCCCTTTTCTTTTTTTTCCCCCTTAAAAAAAAAAAAAAAAAAAAAAAAAAAAAAAAAAAAAAAAACCTAGAATATAATATATAGCTTTTTAAAACAGAATGGGAAAAATATTAAGTTTCTATTTACTAATTTTCACATATTCACAGCTGCAATCTTAGTTTAAAATAGTCATGTGGTTCTCAATCGATCTGCATTTTGCATTTTCTATTTCTGCTTAAGAGTAAATGATGGACCCCCCCCCCCCAATATCAGAAGTGTTTATACAGTCAAAAGTCTTTAATCCGGATTCGTCGATACTTAGGCAAATCCGGATTATCGGTTTTTCCTGATTATAGATCATCAGTTTAAATCTGTTAAGACGGCATGTGGAAATTATAAAATTAAAAATATGACACCGTAATTTATGAAATAAAGAGCAATTATGATCTAAAGGATATCAAATTTAAAAAAAAAAAAAAAAAAAAAAAAAAAAAAAAAAAAAAAAAAAAAAAAAAAAAAGCTTAATATTTATTTGTTTATTTTATTAAACATTTCTTTCAACGCACGCATGCGTAAAGCATACATTACGCATAGTCGAAATTAGAAAATTGCAACTAGAAAACTATTTGATGTGTATTCAAGATATTTATAATGAAGAGGAATTTGATTTAAATCACATCAAAGACAGAGTACATCGAGATGAAATACTACATTTAGTAAGGAATTTATAAGCCAAATAAAATAAAAACATCTGCCCTGAAGATAAGGATAGTGCTAACAGATCAACTTGTTGGAAAATATAGCTTATTTTTAAACCTTTTACTGCATCATCTCTCCTCGAAATGTTTATTTAGTTTAGTCCTTATTTTAATGTAATATAGTAGTTACTTCTACTTCTTTTTCTTGCTGCCACTGTTTGCATTGAGGAACGGACTGTTTCAACCTAATTGAGATGCAAAAACGAAACATGATGTTACGTCATCTGAAAAGCCGATTCGTGCCGATAGCTGATTGGTTGCCGTGAGATGACGTCATTCCTACTTCTGCTATAAGTATCTCGCGTCGAAAATCCCGCTTGTACTATAGAAAATGCTGCAGTACTCATCTATAGTGGTTTTAGAGAACCTTTTCTTTTTATCTCCGTATACAATCCCCCCTCCAGCACTCTTGATCTCAATAATCTGAAACTACTTACTGAAAATAACTACCCCACCTTAATAGCAGGTGATTTAAATGCTAAACATTCCTCTTGGAACTGTAGAGTCACAAATAGAAATGGAGAAAATTTAAGCAACTTCATCCACAATAGTAACATCAATCTCATTGCTCCCAATCACCCAACGCACTATACGCACAACGGACTAGGGGATATTTTAGATATAGTTTTGATGAAAAACCTTCCTAATATTCCTAATCTTGATGTTCTCCCAGAACTTTCGTCTGACCATCTCCCTATAGTCTTCAACTTCTATGGATTTTATCCCCCCTCTCCCTAAAGCTCATACAAAAGTTAATTGGTATATGGTTACCGAACGGCTAAATTCTGTTGACAGCAGAGCCACACTTCGTTACGACTGCGATATTGAGCTGGAAATCACCAGATTAAACTCCAAAATTCAAAACGCTATCAATAATGCTACCTATACAGTCAAGAATAAAAATCCCTATGACATCCCAGAAGAAATTAAATCCCTTATACAAGAAAGAAATAGACTTAGAAAAAGATGGCATATTACTCACAATCCTACTGAAAAACGTCATGTTAATTATCTAAACAGAAAAATAAAAGAAGACATCGCCACCCATCGATCAAATTCGTGGGATAATTTCCTAGAAAACATGGATCTTTACCCAAACTCTGTTTGGAAAGTAGCTAAATCACTCAGAAATCTTTCACCCAATCAAATTCACCCCCTGTATCACATGGGCAAAATTCACCACTCCGAAGACTCCATAGCTGAAATTCATGCAAAAGAATTAGAAAACATTTTTAAACAACATGAAAATAAAAATTCTGATCACGAAAAAGATATTAATTACTCTGTCAATAGCATCCTCAACAGTCCCAGCATTAATTTTTTTATGCCTGCATCTCCAAACGAAGTTCAGCAAATTATTAAAAAATTAAAGAAGCGCAAAGCTAAAGGATATGACATGATTTCTAATGAAGCGTTGCAAGCTTTACCTAGAAGATGCATAGTCTTAATTACAAATATTTTTAATGCTTGTATTAGACTCAGCTACTTTCCATCGCAGTGGAAACATTCGATCATTGTTACCATCCCGAAACCAGGAAAAGATCCAAAGCTAGCAAAAAATTACAGACCCATCAGTCTTCTGCCAGCGCTTGGAAAAGTTTTCGAACGAGTACTTAGTGCTCGGCTCACCAATCATCTAGAACGCCTTAATCTAATAGACAAGCATCAATTTGGATTCCGCAAAGGCCACAATACCACACATCAAATATTAAATTTAGTTGAATTTATTGCCCAAGAATTTACAAAAAAGAACGGAGTAGCGGCATGCTTCCTCGATTTCGAAAAAGCTTTCGATCGAGTGTGGCATGCTGCCTTACTTCATAAGCTATCTAACTTCCTTTTACCAAACAGCTTTATTAAGCTTATGCATTCTTATTTTAAACATCGTACTTTTCAAGTGCGCTGTGGTGAAGCAATCTCTTCAAAAAAAGTGATTTACAGTGGAGTAGCTCAAGGCAGTGTTTTAGGACCGAAGCTTTTTACAATATTCATAAATGATATGCCTCTACCTTTTCATTCTAATATACTCAAATATGCCGACGACACAGTCATCCTCACCAGTTCACGAAGTCCAAATAATGCTTTAGAGAAACTTCAGCTCCAAGTCAACATTATTAACAAATTTTGTCAAGACTGGAAAATCAAACTAAATACTGATAAATGCTGCGTAGTTCTCTTTCGCAGATACAGAAAAAAATATCCCAGTGAATATAAATATCCGACTCAATAACCAAGATATTCCTGTTGCCAACTCCTATAAATATTTATATTGACAAAACCCTAAATTTCAAAGATCATATTCAATATGTTACAAATAAGGCTAACGCTGCTTTCATTGCTCTCTACTCAATTAATTGGAAGAAACTCTAAGTTAAACCTCCGTACCAAGAAAAATATCTACATCTCACTTATTCGACCAATAATCCTCTATGCAGTTCCAGCCTGGGCTACTGCCGAAAAATAGACAGACAAAAATTAAATGTTCTTCAAAACAAAATCTTATGTAGCATAGTGAAAAGTTCGCACCCTGGTTCGTGCGAAATTCTCAAATTCACAAAGACCTGGATATCAATCCAATTCACGACCAAATCCTAATTTCTGCACACAACTTCTTTGAAGATATGAGAAATTCTCCCTATGAAGCTATTAAATCGCTTACAGACTATGACCCTACTATTGAGAACGTAGTGAAAAGACCTCGAACGATCCACCACAATTCTAAGTGGTGGTAGTGTATATAATGTGTATAAAAAATATAATAATAATAATAATAATAATAATAATAATTACTATTCCTTTGCAGTTACTATTCAAGAAAGATGAACTTTGCAAAATTAGGACTTTTTTTTCATCGATGAATTCTTCGTTTTACTAATTATTTAACCAAGATGTTTACTTTTTATTTTTAATATTTCGTATCGTGTGTTTTAAAATCAAAGTTCGTGGTAACACCAAGTGCTTACTCTCACTCATTAGCCCTAGTGAGCTACATGACCTCATTTTCACCTTTTACAGTTTCCTATTCATTTAATGATTATATCGCAAGTTTAGAAGATTTTCAAGTGTCTCAAAAGACATAAGACTCTTAAATTCACAAATAGATGTTGCTTTTATAATGTTCAAACTTTATTTATTTCCAAAAACTACAAAAACTTCAATTTTCGAACTCTGACTCCTCGACCAATCTAAATGCCGGACGCTGATCACGTGCTCCTGCTCTTCTTGACTCACGCAG